CTCTCTCTCTCTCTCTCTCTCTTTTCGATCAATCAATCAATTTGATCGATTAATTGGTTGATTGCTTTTTCATGGTGGTCTCCGCAGATGGACAAGCATCTACTCAAATGAACATGGTGGTCGACAGCCAGGTAGATAGGCCGGTGGAAGGAATATCATGGTCCAATGTGCTGAGGCAAATTCGAGCACGTAGTGATGGGGATGATCTATTTGGAAAATGGTTCGCCGATGCTCGCACGGAGAGGGAATATCTTGAGGCATGTAGTGAACGATACGAGTATGGCATGGCTTCGCAAATTCATGACATGGAGCAGCGTCTGCTTCAACGTAAGTCTAAAGTGCCTTATGGTATTGCAGGTAAGGTTCCGAACGATTTCGCATTGAAAGGAGAATGCGGCCGCTATTTGACTGACAATGAAGGCATTCGGTGGACTTAGGACGAGTTGCTTGGGATGTTAAAGAAGGAGGAGGAAGTGACTGCCCTGAGGAGTGCATTCGCAAAAATTGAGGTGAATGCACGATCAGTGCTTGAAAGTTTCCTGGAAAGGAAACGAAGTGAAGAGGTGAGAGATTGGTCTTTGTCCGGTTGTGTGGATGGGAAGAAGGAGGAGAATGTTGGCGAGGACATTGCCAACCAACTTACGTCTTTAATCCAATCCTCGATTAGAAATGACTTGCTTAATCAAGTTGTTGAGCTTAGTACTAAAGTTGATCCTCATCTGTCCCAAGAGTATGAGTATTTGCGTCTACGCTGTGAAACAGCCGAGAGTGGATTGAGAAAATTGTTGTCGGGAGGTGCCTTGCCATCGATTGATCCTTCTTTTGCATCAGAGGTGTTTTAGCTTCCATCAGGTCGAACTTTATAAGAGCTTCCGAAAAGTTGTTTGATTGGTATGTTGCAATCATTGCGAACAGTTGGTGTGGAGCTCGCACATAGAAATGCGCTTTTGGAGGTGCAAAATACAATGAGTTTTCCGGTAAGCGATAGCCAGTTGAGAGCGACAGTTGTTACTCTCGGACAATTGTACAAAGACGCACGAGAAGAGTTAATGGACACTGTGTATCAACATAGTTTATCGGATCAGTGTGGTGAGGGACTGACGGATGGCATGATGGCGAGGTACAAGGAACAATTGTATAGTCTCCGAATTTTGTTAGGAAATATCATTGTTGCTCATTCGCCGGTGCGGATTATGAAGGAGATGGGCCGTGTAAAAAAGGAATTGAATGCTCTCGCGAGCATAAATAAAAAGCATGAGACCAGATTGCATGAGGTGGTGCTTGCACTGGTTGAAGCTCTGCGGCATCGATGTCCAAGGTGTGGCCGCCTAAGCTATTTGACAAAGGGGGACTATAGAAAAATAAATGATTTGATGGTTGTTACACCTACGTGTGACAACACGACAAACCTTTATCCCCATGGAGATGCTGTTGTTGATGATAACGAGAAGTTTTGAATGGAAGAAAGGAGAAGGCAGCTTCGTGGGGAGGACGATGTAGATGAATAGTGTTTTTTTTTTTTTTGTAGTCGCATATGCATTAACTGGTGTTCGAGTGAGAATAATAGGAGAAGGAGGAGCTAGAGTGGGAGGGAGAACGCGGACGTGGGGTGGGATGACAAGCAAGAATGTGTCCTTTCACATTGTTCATTTCATTAATGATGATGACAGTTGAATGGGTTTATGATAAAATGCTTAAATTCTATATCTTTTGACACTTTTATTTGAGTTTTCTCGCTCTCTGTCTCTGTTTGTCTTTCTCTCTCTCTCTCTCTCTTTCTCTCTCTTTCTTTCTCTCTGTCTCTCTGTCTCTCTGTCTCTCTCTTTCTCTGTCTCTCCCTTTTTTTTTTTCTCTCTCTGTCTGTTTGTTTTTTCTTTTGTCTCTCTCTTTCTCTCTCTTTTCTATTTGTTTCAACATTCCCTCTTTGACAACTATTTTTTCGTTTGCGTGAAAATATTGTTGATGGATAAAAATAAAGGTTGCTTTAGTCATTTGTTCATATGTTATCTCATGTTGTATGTGTTCATTATTATAAACATTATGTTACTATTTAGAGACTTACATTTTTATTTTTATTTTTTCAATATTGTTCTGTTCTCTGTGCTCGTTCTTATACTGTTCTACTTTTTTTTTCTATCTCTATCTTTTTTTATTTGTGTTTTGATTTGAAAGTTTTTTTTTTTTTTTTTTTTTCGTTCGGTATTGTCTTCCCCAAACAGGATTGAAATTATGAGAAACTATTATTCGTATATTAAAACATAAGTTTTATTGGTCATTTTTCACTTTGGAGTTTCATATTCTATGCGGTCGTTTTTAGAAAATCGAAATTGAGCTTTTGTTGCTAACTTTCTTGAAATTTTGTTTCTTTTTGTTATATGGTTTTCAGTATCTGCTCTTATATTCTTCTACTTATTGGTTAAAAAAAAAAAAAAAACCAGGTGAGTATACTTTAAGAAATTTCGAAGCGACAAAGAAAACAAGTTTAAAAACAATATCTTTCACCCCCTCCCCCCCAACAACAACACACATTCATCGTCTCCAATTACATATTGTCCAAGGAAAGCGAAGCATACTTATTCCAAAACAAGGTACGTATAATTATGTTGCATTGAACGCTGAAAACATTAAGGCGGTTACATGAAGGAAAGTAAATAGTATTGGGAGGGTTGGGTCACACTGTGTGATGTAAGGAATATCGGAGAAGGAACCCGTTCGATAATAAATAATGAAAGTAACAATAAACGTAACCTTTCGCCCAAGGCACCCATGCTATCTCGAACGACCTCCTCTCGCATAAGCCTGTTCCAAAAAATCTTGTTCTTTACCCCTTTTGTTCCTATTTTGTCTAAGTTACCCAAACAAGGGAGGAGACGAATGGTGAGGTCGTCAACAGTTTGACCGACCTCAATCGCTAGGAATGACTCTTCCTGGAACCACGACCTTCGAGGCTGGCTGGGGAGAGGTGCGGTACGCCGCATAGACCCATTTATGGGGGTGGTGCAGTGTTGTTGTGGTGGAGCCAACGCCTACTTCTGAGATCCAAGCCTCGTGCTTGGACGAGGAGGACGGGTGCCACAAACTACATCCTAGCGGTTGGGACTCGGTCTGGTTAGGGAAGACTTTTACCCTTCTTCGATTTTTTTGTGAACGGTGACTGACTTGGAATACCCAAGGCTGGCCGCAAGTAGGAGCCGCCTCTATCGAATGCGATTGAAGTCAAAAGAAACTCGATTCCCAATCACAAACTTATACGAACAGGAAAGTGAGCCCTGTCGAGGAATGACAAAGGGTAAACGTGGATAAATGAGGTACGTATGACTCGATCCCACGGGGCCCTGAAAAGACTAAGGGGCTTATAGGGGGAAAAAAATCATCTGAAAAAAAAATTATCGTTTTTTTTACGAACACATAAAAAAAATGCATGGATAAAAGAGAAAAAATAGGATTTGTCATCAGTTAATTAACCTTCATTTCCCTCCACATAAACATTTAAAAATGATAATAGTAATAAAGAACGTGAACTCAACGTTTTCTTCTGTTCGTTTTTCATTTTGTGTTTTGTCACCTTCATTTATCCTTTGACTATATTTTTATATTTTTTTAAATGCTTTACACTATATCTTTTTTCTTACCACCATAATACCATAATTACATCTATATACAAACATTCTGGGATATATTTTATCCTACTGATTTTTATATCTTTCATATTCCTCATATCCTTTGATTTTTATGTTACAGTCGTCTAAGAAGAGATGCATATACGCCCGTTTAAATGGCGGGGGATGAAAGCATAGATAAGGATTCACGCGACATTCATTTATTTGCCGCTCCAAACTCTTCTTCCTCTGTCGACAGGTCCTTGCACGTTCCGTGGAAGCGTCGAAGACGCCTTCGCCGTTGTGAAACACCTGTTACCGCTCCTTTGTTGTCTTCTTCAACGATACCGAACTGTGATAACTCTCCTGCCATTCATTCTGCTCAAGTTCATTTTCCTTCGTTACAGAACGCTTCTTTTTCGTCAAATGATGGATTAGGATTGCGCGCACATTCGGATATTAATTCGCGCGTCGTTTGGATCTTGGATCGTTGTCGTCCGTACGTCAGGCTGTGTTCCCCGACTTTGATGCATATGCGGTAGTTGTTGAAAGTACAGTGGGCGGTGGCGGTGCAACAGAACAAGTTCATAGGATGAATAGCGATGAACCGGGGTCTACATCGTATGGGATTTCCACTCGAAAGAAAAGGCTGGAAAGACGAGCAAACTGTCATGTTTAACGTATGCGTGCATTGAGAGCTGCGATTAAGAATCGTAGGAGCAAAAAAGATATGGATGTTCACAAACGTTTTTTGCGGGGTGTGAGGCGAAGTTTGGTCCATGTAAATATTCTTCGAGAGATTCGAGCAACCACCTCTGGCCAGTCGAGGGATGCATCTTCTTCTTCGAAGAAAACGCGTCGTCATTGTTCTCGACCGAGACAATCCCAAAGTATGTCGGGGAGAGCAGAGCAGTCGCACAATCCGTCCGTTACAGTTCAAAATTCAATGAACAATCGGGAACATAGTGAGCCGGATAAATCAGGATGAGCAAATGAATGATTTGGATGATGATCCACCTGATGATATGAATGCACTCCTGTCTGTACCCGTGGCAACACCGTATGCAGCGGTTGAGAACACCGTGACTATTGTCGCGGGTGCTAGCACGGTTGAGGCATTCGGCATTGGTGGTAGAGAACCGTGCAAGTATTGTGGTGCTAAGTTGTGGAATCATGAAAAAAATGGACAAAAATATGCTGCAAAAAAGGTACGAGACGTTGTCCTCTGTGGGAATGGCCTCGAGAAGGGTCGCCGGAGCATGAGATTCTTTCTATTTTGAAGTCTCAGACTCCCGACGGGTGATTCGTTCGAAAGAATGCGAGGATAATCAATAATAGTTTATCTCTCGCATCCTCGCGGTTAAAACAACCAAGCGATGACGTTCAAGGATTCCAAGGCCAACTTCGGGCTCAGGGTCTGATCTATCATCGTGTCGGTGCATTGGTTGTGGGGGAAGGGGGGCGTCCTCAGTTTGCACAACTTTACTTGCACAATCCCCAACATTTGGATGATGCGATAAATCAAAGAGTGAATTTTTTTAATTTACCTGCACACACGTCTGATGCCGAACTTCAGCAAATGAGACGACTATTAAGAAGGTTCCACGAGTTGCTACAACAGTGTAACAACTACGTGAGGGACTTCATGACCATTGCCGACCTTCCGCCAGGAGCGTTGAATCGAAGGATGTTGGTCATAACCGGATGACATGCCCGCGGAGGAACATGCAAGGCATTATAACCGTCCGTCGGGGCTACAGGAGGTCTGCGTTCTCATGGCGGATGACCTTCTTCCTCGTGAGCTCGAGATTCGTTTATGTGCCCCTCTTCCGGGTGAGCGGCCAACAGTTGTCGTTCCAGAGTGTTCCCGAGCGCACGACTGTTTGAGGTTTGTTTTACTCTTCCCGGAAGAAATTGATAGTTGGTTTGTCCAACGTTCCTTGGAAGCTGGATGGCCGTCGGGACTCAATGCGAAGGAGTACTATGCGTTTCATCTACACGAACGCGATGGTGAAAGACCTTGCCTCCTTTATGCGGCGCGTCTTTTCCACGAGTTTTGTTGCATGGCTTACGCTAAGGTTGAATCCCTTCGCTTAAAATGGGTGAGATTCCATCAGAAAAACTTGCGGTCGGAATATTATCAAGACCTGCGAGAGGTTGTGGAACAAAATCAGCACAGTGATGATGTTGGGACAAAAATACTTCTGCTCTCCACCTTCACTGGGGGACCGCGCTGTATGACCGAAAGATATCATGATAGCATGACAATCGTGAGGTGGTTTGGAAAACCCGATATTTTTATCACTATGACGTGTAACACAAACTGACCACAGATCCAACAAGCACTGTTGTCGGGTCAATGCGCAACCGACAGGCCGGATCTACTTGCCTGAGTGTTCAAAGGTTATCTCACCCAACTCATTGACGAGATTAAGAAAAAACGGATCTTTGGGAGGGTCGATGGAATGTTGTATGTAGTTGAGTTCCAAAAAAGAGATCTGCCGTATGCACACATATTGGTTATCTTGCATCCGGATGATAAAATCCGCGATGCAGATGCTGTTGACAACGTGGTGTGTGCGGAGATTCCGCCTGAAGGGGAATTGAGAGAAAGGGTTGTCAAATTCATGTTGCACGACATTTGCGGTGAGGAGAAAAGCGATGCTTCGTGTACCGAGAACGGAAAGTGCACGAAAGGGTTTCCGAAAGAATTCCTTTCCACGACAACCTTTAAAGATGAAAAAACTTACCCTTCGTATAGGAGAAGAAAACCAAGTGACGGTGGTTTTACGGTCGTTCAAAATCGCGTTGTTTATGATAGTCGTCAAGTGGTCCCGTATAACCCGTACTTGCTGATGAGGTTTAACAGCCACATCAATGTCGAATGTTGTGCTAACATCAAGGCGTGCAAGTATGTGTATAAGTACGTGTGTAAAGGGGGTGATCGTGCCATGGTTTGCGAACAAGATAATAATGCACTTGTCGATGAAGTCAAATCCTATCAAGATATGCGTGTTGTTGGTGCATGTGAGGCATGCTGGCGTCTGTTTGAGTTCGACCTTGCGGAACAGTGACCCGCAGTCGAAAGGTTGGTCGTGCATATCGAAAACATGCAAAAAGTGGTCTTCGAACCAGGCACGGAAGATCATGTTGTTTCCCGGGACCGCCGAGCACAAAATGACGGCATGGATGAATCACAACTCTTTGAACGAACGTGTTCCTAAACACGAACTTCCTTTGTATTCTGAAATTATTAAAACTCATGTGTGGGATAACCAGCATAAGGTGTGGAAAAGAAGAAAGCGTGCTCTTCATGGTGCTCCTTTCGAAAAGATATCTCGATTGCATCATGTCAGGGTCACGGAAGGCGAACGCTTCTATCTCTGTGTGTTGCTTAACCATGAACACTCTCGTGGAGCACGCTCTTTTGCGAAAATTCGTACCGTCGATGGAGTCGAATACGATTCGTTCCGATCAGTGTGTCTTCGATTAGGACGTTTGCAAATCGATGATGCATATAATCAATGTATAGATACGGACGCACTCCATTATATGCCTGCAAAGGTTCGTAAAGTATTCGCTATGCTTCTGCTGTTTGCGCCGGTCAACGATCCTGTTCAATTCTTTCAACGACATTGGGAAAAAATGTGTGATGATTTTCAGTATCGTGCGGACTCTCAGATTTTCCCTCCGATCGTTTTGCAATGTTTAGTGCTCTTTGATCTTGACCGTATCTTGCATGAGTCTGGCAAAAACATCCGCCTGTTCGGTCTTTATTATCCGACCTTGATGGAGAAACGATTGTCGACAACATAAACAGGCATTACGAGAACAGGACTGTGTCCTCGATTATAAATGACGAATTGTCGTATGATCCGATTGAAATGTGAACTAAATTTGAGTCTAATTTTCGACGTCTTCGGCCGTGCCAACGATCGCTGGTGCAAAGAGTTATTCAGGCCGTGGAAAAGAAACAACCGCTTTATGCTTTTGTAGATGCGCCGGCGGGAACAGGAAAGACTTTTTGCATAGAAACAATTTTGGCGGGGATCAGGTCGCATAATGGTATTGGACTCGTTGTGGCGTCCAGTGGGATATCGGCGACTCTTTTGACCGGTGGTCGAACATTTCACTCGGGATTTTGAGCACCTTTGAAACCTGGTAACACGCGTCCCTTCAATATTCCAAAACAGAGTGATCTTGCCGAACTTATCTGCCGTGCCGACTTGATCGTTTGGGATGCAGCTCCAATGAGCAACAAGTTCCACTTGGAAGCTCTTGACATTACGCTTCAAGATGTCTGTAACAGTAACCTCCCGTTTGGAGGAAAGGTTTTGCTTCTTTCTGGGGACTTTCGACAGGTTTTGCCGGTTGTGAAACATGGGTCTCGAGCACAACAAATTGATGCCTCTATCAAAATGTCTCCTTTGTGGAAACTTTTTGAGGTCCATTGCCTGACTGAGAATATGCGGATCTTAAGCTTAGGGGATGATGCAATGGCGCGAATGTATGGCGTNTGAGAATATGCGGATCTTAAGCTTAGGGGATGATGCAATGGCGCGAATGTATGGCGTGTTTTTTATGCGTATTGGGAATGGTGATCATATTCGTTTTGTTCCTAACGAAGCTGCCACGGTCAAACTGCCGCATGAGATTTGCACTGATAAACCTATTCGTGATTTGATTTCCTGGACGTTTGAGGATGTCTGTGAACACGTTGGGGATGCTGACTATTTTTACGCTCGATTGATTCTCTGCGCTACTAATGACGATGCGGGGTGTGTTAATGACATGGTTCTCAACGATTTCTCTGGCGAGGTGCGTGAAAGTTATAGTGTTGATTACCCTGGTTCTGATGATCACGGACTTGACATCGAGCGAGAGTTCTTGAATTCTCTCGATGAGTCTGGTCTTCCGCCTCACAAACTGCGCTTGAAAATTGGTGCGCCTGTGATGTTGTTGCGCAATTTGTCGCCCAAACAAGGACTTTGTAATGGCACAAGGTTGATTCTTAAAAAGATTGTTGATGATGATTTGTTGGAAGTGACCATAATGCGCACCGGTAAAACGACACTGATCCCCAAAATCAATTTGACAAGTGATGGTGAAACCATGGGGGTTAAATGAAATAGGAGGCAGTTCCCCATCTGTCTTGCGTTCGCTGCGACCATAAACAAGTCGCAAGGACAAACTGTCTCTCGTGCCGGGGTTTGGTTGCGCAAACCTGTTTTTGCGCATGGCCAATTGTATGTTGCTTTGTCGCGCGTTGGTCATCCCAACAACATTAGTGTTGCGTTGCCTGACAAAAATTTCATCACAAAGAATACAAAGAATATTGTTTATCACGAAGTTTTTGAATAACTTTTTCTCTTTTGTCGTCTGTATCTCTTTCGACCGTCGATTCTAATCGCTCCGAATACTTTTCCCCCTTTTTTTTTGTGTGTGTGCAGGCGGTTCTCAATTGCGCCACAAGTATGAGACTCGTGCTAATAGCAAAAGGCTGAAAGTGAGAGGCACCAACACTGCTACTGATGCTAATGGCAATGTTACATCCAATAGTCGGGTGCAGTGTTCGGAACCCTCGAAAATAAGCCGAAACGATGAAATGTCTGTCAACCATCAAACTGGACCACGTGCCGGAGGTGCTGGTCCTGGACTTGAAGATGAGTATGTGTCTCCTCAAGGGAACACACTCGAGGATGCTGAAAATATGTTTGTGGAAGAGGGGCGTCATGACTCTCGTGCGAAAGGGGATGGTTGTCAGGGGGATTAACCGGGTGACTTTGATAAATATGTGTTAAGTGATGATAAAGAAGAGACCTCCACTGATGGTTCCGGTGACCGTGTTGAATCTACATTCAAAAGAAGGATCAGTCGACGTGTGAAAAAAAATATTTTGGCTTCGCTCGACGGCCTTGAGCCCACCCTTCGTGATCATCGGGTGAGTAACAAAGTTGTTAGTCCTGAAACTGCGACTCAGGTTCTGAGAGCACTTCGCACGATCCCTACTGATGTGCTTTTCGGCGATGATCGTGATCCGTGTTTGAAGTCCCAACGTGGTGAAGGTGAAGGAATTGCTCGTGCCCCGTCCCAAACACGAAATTGTGCGACAGTTGTTGAGGTGCCCGATGATAGCAATCCCCCACCGCCAGTTGCACGTGT